AGAATTCAAAACAGGACAATTTTTGTTACAATTTAATTCTGCTCAAGTGTAAATCCCCACTACTGAGAAAGCAACTACAGGTAAAGGGTGTTAAAGTGTATGACAAGACTCTCAATGGTTGGTCATTGTTCACACTTACATGAGAAGATGTTTCACCCAAAAGTTTCCCCCGAAATCTTCAAAATAAAAAAAGTTTCAGAATGAACCTGTCTAGGAGTTACTCTCAGGTTAGTGACATATCTGGAAGTGTCCAGTAGGGTTCCGGAGATACAGGTTAGTGTTTGGCATGAGTCGTCCCAACTATCGCGGTTTATTTCCGACTCTGACAGTCGCTCCCTGTCTGACCTTCACCAGAATGTGCCTCCCTTTACCTCCGTGGCAAACAGGTATAATTCTAACTTGCAGGGTGGATTGTCTGAAGCTTCCTCTGATCTAAGCACTTCAAAGGACTTCACAAACACTCATGAAATTTTATACGGCCAAAGAGGTGTATTATTATAGTAGTTATAACTTTTTACTGGCTTTAGATGTTCCTATAGTGTAGATCAGATTCATTGTAAAAATGCATGTCAGGCTCTCACATGTCATTGCAGTGCTCAGTTCCTGACGTCTAGTCTCCGAAATTGGGGCTCTTTGATTTTTGTTCAGTGTAGTTTTGCATTTCCCTTTTTTATATATTTTGAAGTTGAAGGGTAGGTGCTGAGCCACTGTAAAAGGGAACAGTTCCATCGACTTCACATTCAAGGAAGGCACTTTACCCAGCCCAGGGTAGACAAAACGGTGTTTGGAGTGCATCTTTCTTTGCAGAGTCTGCATCTCCACCTAGAGCAGCTCATATCTAATATACAGTGAAATCAATGGGAAACATCAGCCATTGCAGCTCCATCCATGAGCCACGAAGAGAACGGGGTCTTGTGAGAGACTTCAGCTAGGAAAGAAAAGGAAGAAGCAGAAAACAGACAGATTTGAAGAGAACTTCAACAGTCAGATTGCTGTGGGATGAGACTGGGGTTAATTACAAGTCTGACCAAGCTAGGGCGTTCTGCAAGACCTGTCTCCCACAGAAAGCTTTTCAGCCGTAATTTGAATGATTTCTGAAGTGGAAAAATACACCCCCACCAGGATGTCTTCCTTCCCTCAGTTGGAAGGCACAGAATGTCACTGAATTCTAGGTTGCAGAGTAGCAGCCCCGGTTGTCTGTATTCGCAAAAAGAAAAGGAGGACTTGTTTTAGTCTCTAAGGTGCCACAAGTCCTGAATTCTACGGAACTGCCTTGGGGGGACAGTGAGGGGGTGTAAGGGAAAAGCAGCGGCCCCTCCCTGCAGCACCCACCTGTTGCTCCTGAAGGGCTGGTACCAAGGGCAAGGAGACGCAGGACCCTGGTGTTTGCACCGGGGCGCTGCCAGCAGGGGTCGGCGCCCCGCAGGGCCCAGCCTTCTCGGGGGCTCTGGGCAGCGCTTCTGGCCCGACGCAGGGCCCGTGAGCGTGTGGGGAGCTGGAGGGGGAGTGGAGGCGGCTATGGCATTTGGGCGCCGGTCGCGGCCCCTGGGCAGCTCCCTCGCTCCCACCAGGGCGGTGCAGGGGAGCCTGGAATCCAGGGCAGGGGGTGGCTCTCTGACCCTCCTTCCCCGCGCTGGGGGTCTCACTGGAGGCTGCAGAGACGCTGGATGGTCGGAGCAAGAACTGGTGGCCGCCCTCTGAGACCACCCAGAAATGCCTTGTGCTTAACCCCCGGAGCCCTTTCCTCGGGGCGCCCACCGCAGCCGGCCCAGGGGCCGGATCCGTGCCGAGCTGGGCACTGGGGCGGGCGGGCGGGCGGGGGGGGGGACCCCAGGGGGAAGGGACCTGGCTTGGTGGCCGATACCAGGGTGATGGGCGCGCTAAGCAGGGCGGGAAGCAGAGAACGAGAGCCCAAGGGCGTGGGGGCTGCCCGGGGGGCATCCTTGGGGGGGCCGGCGGTGGGGGGGGATCCTCTGCCCGGCCCCTTTGCCGGGAGGCAGCGGGCGGGGGGCGGTGCGGACCGGGCTGGTTGCCGGGAGACGCTGTAAACAATGGGGGGGGGGGTTAATCCCAGCCCCGCCGCCGCCCGGCTCAGTGCTGCGGACACCGCCCCCGCAGGCTTCCCTCGGGTCCGCAGCGCCCCGCCGCAGGCTTCTCTCGGGTCCGCACCCAGGTCAGTGTTCTGTGTCAGCTGACGCGGGTGGGTTCCATCCCCCCCGCGCCCGGGTTCCCGGGGACACCCCTGCCCGCACCCCCCCGATCGCCCTGGGGGCCCCATCCCCCTGCCTGCACCCCCCCGATCCGCCTGGAGCCCCCAGCTCCCTGCCCGCACCCCCCCCGATCCCCCTGGGGCCCCAGCTCCCTGCCCGCACCCCCCCCGATCCCCCTGGGGGCCGCAGCTCCCTGCCCGCACCCCCCCGATCCGCCTGGAGCCCCCAGCTCCCTGCCCGCACCCCCCCCCCGATCCGCCTGGAGCCCCCAGCTCCCTGCCCGCACCCCCCCCCGATCCGCCTGGAGCCCCCAGCTCCCTGCCGGCACCCCCCCGATCGCCCTGGGGGCCCCATCCCCCTGCCTGCACCCCCCCGATCCGCCTGGGGCCCCAGCTCCCTGCCGGCACCCCCCGATCCCCCTGGGGCCCCATCCCCCTGCCCCCGCCACCCCTCCCCGATCCGCCTGGGGCCCCATCCCCCTGCCTGCACCCCCCCGATCCGCCTGGAGCCCCCAGCTCCCTGCCGGCACCCCCCCGATCCCCCTGGGGGCCCCAGCTCCCTGCCCGCACCCCCCCCCCTGGGGCCCCAGCTCCCCCCCCCCCCCCCCCCCCCCCCCCCCCCCCCCCCCCCATCGCCCTGGGGGCCCCAGCTCCCTGCCCGCACCCCCCGATCCGCCTGGAGCCCCCAGCTCCCTGCCGGCACCCCCCCCGATCCCCCTGGGGCCCCAGCTCCCTGCCCGCACCCCCCCGATCCCCCTGGGGGCCCCAGCTCCCTGCCCGCACCCCCCCCCCTCCCGCCCCCCCATCCCCCTGGGGGCCCCAGCTCCCTGCCCGCACCCCCCCCGATCCGCCTGGAGCCCCCAGCTCCCTGCCCGCACCCCCCCGATCCGCCTGGGGGCCCCCACCCCCGATCCCCCTGCCCCAGCTCCCTGCCCGCACCCCCCCGATCCCCCTGGGGGCCCCAGCTCCCTGCCCGCACCCCCCCCGATCCCCCTGGGGGCCGCAGCTCCCTCCCGCACCCCCACCCCCCCCCCTGGTGGCCCCAGCTCCCTGCCCGCACCCCCCCCGATCCCCCTGGGGGCCCCAGCTCCCTGCCCGCACCCCCCCGATCCCCCTGGGGGCCGCAGCTCCCTGCCCGCACCCCCCCCGATCCCCCTGGGGGCCCCAGCTCCCTGCCTGCACCCCCCATCCCCCTAGGGGCCCCAGCTCCCTGCCTGCACCCCCCACCGATCGCCCTGGGGGCCCCAGCTCCCTGCCTGCACCCCCCCTGATCGCCCTGGGGGCCCCAGCTCCCTGCCCGCACCCCCCCCGATCGCCCTGGGGGCCCCAGCTCCCTGCATGCACCTCTGGATTCCCCTGGAGCCCCAAGACCCCTGTCTGTACCCCCCGATCCCCCTGGAGCCCCCAGACTCCTGCCTGTACCCCCCGATCCCCCGGGACCCCCAGCTCCCTGCCCAAACCCCCCATCCCCCTGGGGCCACCAGCTCCCTGCCCAACCCCCCTGATCCCCTGGGGCCCCCAGCTCCATGCCTGCATCCCACATCCCTAGGGGCCTCCATCTTCCTGCCCAGACCTCCACATCCCTGGGGCCCCCAGCTCCATGCCTGCACCCTCAGATCCCCCAGATTCCTGCCTGCAACCCAGATCCCTCAGGGCCCCCAGCTCCCTGGCCAGGCCCCCCAGATCTCCCAGGGCCCCCAGCTCCCCTCACACACACACATCCCCGACTCCTGGGACTAGCGGGAGCAGCTGCTCTTTCTGAGCTTCCTCTCCATACAGTGTGTACTGAGCAAATCTCTGACTGCAGCGCTGATCCTAGCCCCTCTAACTTTCCTGCTGGGGGTCGTCCCTTCACGGTCACTGCCTCTGTATTTCCAGCTTTACCAATTTATCATAGTGATCCTTTGCCCTCTCTAGTATCTCCCAGCCAAAGATCTCAGAGTGCTTTACAGATATAAACACATTATATGGGATCAATATCATGATTTTACCTATTGGGAAACTGAGGCACAGAGACCGGTAGTCAGAGGCACAACCAGAGAGAGAACCTGGGAGTCCTGATGCCCAGGCCTGTTCTTCTGCTCCACGCCCTTTCCTCCCCACCCTCTCCTGAAACTCTGCATCAACAGCAGCAGCTTGCCCAGCACTTGAGATCTGGCAGAGCTGCAGAGGCCATGGTGTGTGGTCAGCAGCAGCTGTTCCTCTGAAAAACGGTGGGTTCTCTGCCTGCTCTGGGGATGGGACTCCCTCGTGCCTCTGTCGGAGTCCGAGCCCTGGAGCTCCCAGACATTGGTCTCTAGTCCCCCTGGAAATGAACTTTCCCCTTTGAGCTGTGGCTGACCCTGCCCCCATTTCTTCCCTTGGCGAAATTTCAGCTGGCTCCACCCACCGCTTTCGGGCGGCCTCTGTTTGTTGTCCCTGATGCCGTGGTAACTGGATAAAAGAGAAAGCGAGAGCGCGCAGGATCTCCCTGGGGCAAACCTTATGAGGTTCTTTGCCTCGGGAAATCCCGGCCGCTGGGGCCGGTAGAGCTCCTTGGCCTTGCTGGTCTTGTCTCCTTGTGCAATTCATCCCCGGAGACCTTCCCGGTAGCCGGTGTGACCCTTGGCTGTGCGCGTCAGGTGCGGGGCGGGTGCAGCAGCCCAGCGGGAGCCCAGCGTGGCGTCTCAATGCACCAGCGCCTCTCCCTCTGTGTGCCAGGGCAGGCCTCCCTGGGGGGCGGCCTCTAATGCACCGCTGGGAGCGGCAGGAGCGCTCCAGAGAGCCGCGAAGGGGGGCTAAAAAAGCAGAGGGAAAGTAGGATCCTTCCTTGCCGTGCTGCAGTCCGCCAGGCCATCTCTCCTGCAGCCGCGCGACTGCTTCTGCAGACCCAGCGACGCAGGGGCAGCGGCAACGTCCCCACCGATTCCTCTCCCGGGCCCGAGACCCAGCAGAGAAAGCTTCATCCCCAGAGGGGAATTCCGGCTAGGGCAGAGCGCGGGTGTGGGGCAAGGATGGCTGTGTCACCTTAGGGAGAGCCCAGGTCCGCCCGCCACCTCTGCCCTCGCCCCTGGGGTCGGGGCCCGGGGCACAGGACTCCTGGGGCGGCGTGCTGGGTTCTCTGGGGGACTGCCTTCCCCCGGCTGACGCGTGACGGGGCCATTCCCAGAGCAGCTCTCTCTGCTGACGGAGGAGAAATAATGATCCTGGCGCACGGAACCCTTCGTCCGGGCATCTCGAACAGCCGCCCAAAGACAGGGCTGTCGTGTGGCCATCCCCACTGTATCGAGGCACACGGAGGTAAAGCAATCTGCCCAAGGTCACGCAGAGAGGCTGGAAAAGCTGGGAAGAGATCCCAGGTTGCCTCACTCCCAGTCCCCTGCTCTAACCAGTAGACATGCTGCTGTGGTTTTAGATGTGCTGCTGCCCCCTACTGGAGTGTGACAGGCCAGCCTGTGTGTTGCAGGGGGATGGGCATCAAGTAGGCGTGGGGGCCCCATTCCCACCTGTGGGGGCAAAGGGCTGTTGCTGCTGCCCAGCCCTCTCCCTAACCGGGGCTCTCTGTCTCCTCACCAGCTGTGGGAAAGCACCGGGGATCCAGCATGTCTGCCGACGTCTGGGTGGGAACATGGAGACCCCACCGGCCCAGAGGGCCCATCGCTGCTCTCTACAGCAGTCCCGGGCCCAAGTATGGGCTCCCCACAAACGTAGGTGAGAGAAAGCGTCAGCGAGGAGCCGGCCAGGCCAGCGGGAAGGGGAGCCCCCATCCCCCCCCGGCTCCATGAGGAGGGGTGGCCCGGGGCTCTCCGCCAGCATCATGGAGAGAGGAACACACGGGCCAGCTGGCAGCTCCGTGCACATGCCCAATGCTCTGCTTTGGGGGCGCTCTCCACCCGCAGCCGAATGGGGCTGCTCATCCATCCCGTGTTCACCCCAAGGGCGCCCCTCACCATGCCCCCTTGCACCAAGGGATCTCTTATTTCTCCCCCACTCACTGCTCTTCCTACACAACAAGGCCTGTGCTGAGGGAGCTCTCTCCTCCCCTTGCCCTCTCAGGTCTGGACTGGGGTCCATGCCTGCCCCAGTGGCCTGTGTGGAGAGAGCTCTGCCACGCCCCACGCTCCCTTCAGGGCTTTTCTTGGGGGCTCTCACTATCTGGCCCATGCCCTCTGCGCCCTGGCTCTACCTCTCCTTCCTGTTGCAGGTTACCCCCTTCACGACCCCTCCCGCTACCGAGACCCTGCATACAGCTTCGGCATCCGCCACCCCTATCAGCAGGATGAGTGCTCCCCGGGGCCCAAGTACATGGTGCCAGCCAAGATGACCATGAAGGGCAAAGATGGTAACCCTGCCTACTCCATCTATGGCCGTCCCAGGGATCTGATGCCCTTCCTGACCCCCGGGCCAGGTGAGTCTGTCCCCTTCTCACTCGTTCTGTACAGCCAAGCTATGTGGGTGCGGCTTAATTTGTGTGTGGTGTGTGTGATTTAATGCCTGTGATGGAAAATGTCAGCACAGGGTTGCTCCTTCCAGTCCACGCTCCAGGGCTCTGGACAATCCAGGTGTGTTTGTCCCAAGTGATAGAGCTCCCTGTAAGGCCGATTTTGTATTTATTTATTTATTTATTTATTTATTAAAAGGCTCCATAGGCGATGCTGGCAATTACAGGCTGGTAAACCTGACTTCAGGTGCAGCCAGATTGGTTGAAAGGATGATAAAGAACAGAATGATCAGACACACAGATGAACACGATTTGGTGGGGAAGAGTCAACACAGCTTTGGTAAAGGGAAATCATGCCTCTCCCATCTATTAGCGTTCTTTGAGGGGGCCTACAGACGCATGGATAAGAGTAATCCAGTGGCTATAGTGTACTTGGACTTTCAGAAAGCCTTTGAAAAGGTCACACACCAAAGTCTGTTAAGCAAAGTAAGCAGCGACAGATAAAAGGGAAGGTTCTCTCATGGATCAGTAACTGGTTAAAAGACAGGAAACAAAGGGTAGGGATAAATGGTCAGTTTTCATGGTGGAGAGAGGTAAATAGCGGGGTTCCCCAGGAATCTGTACTAGGACCTGTGCTGCTCAGCATATTCAAAGATGATCTGGAAAAGGGGTGAACAGTGAGGTGGCAAAATTTGCAGATGATACAAAATTACTCAAGATAGTTAAGTCCAAAGCTGACAGCACAGAGCTACAAAAAATCTCTCAAAATTGTGCAACACAATGGCAGGTGAAATTTCCATGTTGATAAATGCAAAGTAATGCACATGGGGAAAACATAATCCCAACTGTACTTGCAAAATGAGGGGGTCTAAATTAGCTGTTACCATTCAAGAGAGAGGTCTTGGAGTCATTGTGGAGAGTTCTCTGAAAACATCGGTTCAATATGCAGCAGCAGTCAGAAAAGCTAATAATGTAAGGAACGTTTAGGAAAGGGACAGAAAAGACAGAAAATATCATAGTGCCACTATATAAATCCATGGTATGCTCGCGCCTTGAATACTGTGTACAGTTCTGGTCACATCATCTTAAAAAAAGATTAGGGCTGTCAAGCCATTAAAAAAAATTAATTGCAGTTAACTGCATGATTAAAAAAATAATCATGATTAATCGTGTGATTAAAAAAAATTAATCGCGATTAATGAGTGATTAATCGCACTGTTAAACAGTAATAGAATACCATTTATTTAAATAGTTTTGGATGTTTTCTACATTTTCAAATACACTGATTTCAATTACAACACAGAATACAAAGTGTACAGTGCTCACTTTAGATTTATTTTTTATTACAAATATTTGCACTGTAAAAAACAAAAGAAATAGTATTTTTCAGTTTACCTCATACCACTACTGTCGTGCAATCTCTTTATCATGAAAGTTGATCTTACAAATGTAGAATTATATACAAAAAATAACTGCATTCAAAAATAAAACCATGTAAAACTTTAGAGCCTACAAGTCCAATTAGTCCTACTTCAGCCAATCACTCAGGGTATGTCTACACTACGAAATTAGGTCGAATTTATAGAAGTCGGTTTTTTAGAAATCATTTTTATATATTCGAGTGTGTGTGTCCCCACAGAAAATGCTCTAAGTTCATTAAGTGCATTAACTCGGCGGAGTGCTTCCACAGTACCAAGGCAAGCGTCGACTTCCAGAGTGTTGCACTGTGGGTAGCTATCCCACAGTTCCCGCAGTCCCCGGAAATGAGATTCAAAAGTTCGTGGTTCTTTTCCTGTCTACCTGGCCAGTGCATCTGACTTGAGAGTGCTGTCCAGAGCGGTCACAATGGAGCACTCTGGGATAGCTCCCGGAGGCCAATACCGTCAAATTGTGTCCATAGTACCCCAAATTCGACCCGGCAAGGCCTATTTAAGCGCTAATCCACTTGTTAGGGGTGGAATAAAGAAATCGATTTTAAGAGCCCTTTAAGTTGAAAAAAGGGCTTCATCGTGTGGACGGGTGCAGGTTTACATCGATTTAACGCTGCTAAATTCGACCTAAAGTCCAAGTGTAGACCAGGGCTTAGACAAACAAGTTTGTTTACATTTGCAGGAGATAATACTGCCCGCTTCTTGTTTACAATGTCACCTGAAAGTGAGAACAGGTGTTCTCATGGCACTGTTGTAGCCAGCGTCGCAAGATATTTACGTGCCAGGTGCACTAAAGATTCATACGTCCCTTCATGCTTCAGCCACCTTTCCAGGGGACATGTGTCCATGCTGATGACTTGGGTTCTGCTCGATAACTATCCAAAGCAGAGAGGACCGATGCATGTTCATTTTCATCATCAGAGTAGGATGCCACCAGCAGAAAGTTGATTTTCTTTTTTGGTGGTTCAGGTTCTGTAGTTTCTACATCGAAATGTTGCTCTTTTAAGACTTCTGAAAGAATGCTCCACACCTCGTCCCTCTCCGATTTTGGAAGGCACTTCAGATTCTTAAACCTTAAGTCAAGTGCTGTCACTATTTTTAGAAATCTCATAGTGGTACCTTCTTTGTGTTTTGTCAGATCTGCAGGGACAGTGTTCGTTAATCAAACAGCATGTGCTGGGTCATCATCCGAGATTGCTATAACATGAAATATATGGCAGAATGCGGGTAAAACAGAGCAGAGGACATACAATTCTCCCCCAAAGAGTTCTGTCACAAATTTAATTAATGCATTGTTTTTTTAACCAACATCATCAGCATGGAAGCATGTCCTTTGGAATGGTGGCTGACACATGAAGGGGCATATGAATGTTTAGCATATCTGGCATGTAAATACCTTGCAAAAGTGCCATGCGAATGTATGTTCTCACTTTCAGGTGACATTGTAAATAAGAAGCGGGCAGCATTATCTCCTGTAAATGTAAACAAACTTGTTTGTCTTAGCGATTGGCTGAACAAGAAGTAGGACTGAGTGGATTTGTAGGCTCTAAAGTTTTACATTGTTTTGTTTTTGAGTGCAGTTATGTAACAAAGAAACAAAATCTAAATTTGCAAGTTACACTTTCACAATATTGTCTTACAGTATTTGTAGGAGGTGAATTGAAAATTACTTTCTTTTGTTTATCATTTTTACAGTGCAGATATTTCTAATAAAAACTAATATAAAGTGAGCATTGTACACTTTGTATTCTGTGTTGTAATAGAAATCAATATATTTGAAAATGTAGAAAAACATCCAAAAATATTTAATAAATTTCATTGGTATTCTAGTGTTTGACAGTGTGATTAATCATGATTAATTTTTTTAATTGCAGTTAATTTTTTGAGTTAATCGCGTGAGTTAACTGCGATTAATCGACAGCCCTAAAAAAGATATATTAGAATTGGGGAAAGTACAGAAAAGGGCAATAAAAATGATTAGGGGTCTGGAACAGCTTCCATAAAAGGAGAGATCAAGAAGGCTGGGACTCTTCAGCTTGGAAAAGAGACGACTAAGGGGGGATATGACAGAGGTCTATAAAATCATGAGTGGTGAGGGGAAAGTGAACAAGGAAGTGTTGTGTTATTTACCCCATCACATAACACACAAACCAGGGGTCACCCAATAAAGTTAATAGGCAGCAGGTTTAAAACAAACAAAGGGAAGTATTTCTTCACACAACATACAGTCAACCTGTGGAACTTGTTGCCAGGGAATGTTGTGAAGGCAAAGACTATAACTTGGTTCAAAAAAGAATTAGATAAGTTCCTGGAGGACTGGTCCATCAATGACTTTTAGCCAAGATGGTCAGGGATGTAACTCCACGTTCTGGGTGTCCCTAAGCCTCTGACTGCGAGAAGCTGGGACTAGACAACAGGGGATGGATCACTCGAAAAATTGCCCGGTTCAGTTCATTCCCTCTGAAGAGCCTGGCTCCAGCCACTGTCAGAAGACAGGACACTGGGCTAGATGGACCATTGGATTGATCTGATGACCATTATGTTCTTATGTTACCCTGGAGAGATGATTCCCCAGCCCCATAGATATCGCTGCCAAGGACTGATCCTGAGAGTCAGCCTAAATTCCCTTCTTGTTAATTCTATGCCATTCCTCCTAATTCCCCTCCTCCTTGTGTAGCCTCCTTGCTAATCCCGCTCTGTCGCAGGCTTCACACCCTTCTGATATTTGCAGACTTGTGTGTAGAGCGCAGGGAGCAGGGCAGGAGCACTAGATATGGGGGGAGTTCTTAGTTACTCTAGTCCCGCCCTCTCCCAGCAGGGGACATTGTGGGGAGCAGGGCAGGGTGCTGGCTGTGGGGGGAGCTCCCAGCGACTCTAGCCCCAGCTTCTTCCAGCAGGGGGTGCTGTAGGGCGTAGGACAGGAGCGCGGGCTATCTGTGAGCCTGCCAATCAGTGGGGTATGGGGTGAGCCCCTCCCATCTATGATCCGATATTATCCTCCCTCTTTGTTTCAGGTCGATATTCTCCAGAGAAGGCAGGGAAATGGGCCTATCGCTCCGCGCCCATCTACTCGCTTGCTTCGCGCACGAAGGAGTTTGCGAATGACCAGACTCCAGGTAGGAGAGCCCACGGGGCTAAGCTCCGACCCAGCTCCTGCTCCCCCCGCCCCACTGCATGGCTGGCCTCGAGGTTCCAAGGTGCAAATCAGTGCCCGTTGGCTCAGACCTTTGTCTGGATTCTCCCCTTCCCCTTCCCGGAAGCCCTGACTCGAGCACATGCCTGTCTCCACGCCCAGGGACCCTAGAGCAAGTTCACGGCTTTCCCAGCCTCTTATCCAAAGCGGGTGCTACGGGGCAGGGTGGCAAGAGACTGTCAGAGAGGGGATCAACCCACCGGTTCAGGGTGCAAGTGGACCCTGGATTCTTGCAACTGCTGAATGCTGCAGAGAGGCCAGAGCCGCTGGAGGAGACGATTCTGCCAAGCCTGTTGCAGGATTGGTCCCGGATCTGTTTGTGATCATCCCTCGCCCTCCGACTGCTCAGCTTCTCCCCAGCACACTTCTGGGAGAGGGGCCTGGTTCAGAGGGTGTGACCGGCACAAGCTGGGGGATAATGATCATTCCCCACGGCCCTGCACTCCCCCAGTTGCTCACGGGGGAGTGGGGCAGTGCAATCATAAAACAACCAGCTAATTGCAGCTTCCCCAACCTGGAACGTCATGCCTGGGCCCCGTACGCTCGGCTGGCTGTGCCAGAATCCAAGCCCTTGGCAATGGAGCGCCAGGCGGGGATTTAGGACCCGAGAGATGGCAGGGGTCAGTTGGGAGTTTCCCCGCTGACGTCACTGGAAAGGGGGGAGTCACGCTGTTCCCAGAGCCGTGCACAGGGCCCAGCTCTCCCCTGGGGACACCGTTGCTCTGGGTGCCCGCCCTCGATGCCAGGGCAAAGCTCGGCCGGCTAGGAGAGCGGAGACGGGCTGGCCCCGGAGGCTTGTGAGGAGGCTTTTCAGATGACTAAGGCCCAGGTAGATGGGGCTCTCGGAGTGGGGGGTCATGCCAATTCGTGGGGAGAGACTGTTCCTGCCCCTCCAGGAGCAGCAGGCAGTCTTGCTGGCTCCTTAGACCCACAGGTTTTGGTGCCCGCAGCTGATCGAGTCCAGGGTCCCCATCTCGGGGGGGCCCCGGCAACCGGGGGAAACGAACCCAAGTGGTGCGGCCACCCCTTGCACCGAGTCGCAGCCACTGGCTGAGATTTGGCCCGCGCGCCCCTCCGTCATGGCGGGGCAGCCAATGGGAGAGAGCAGGGCTGGCCTCACCCAGGGTGGGAGGGGAGGGATGCCACAGCCTCACAGCTGCCACTGCCCTCCCCCGAGCCCTGCCCTTCCCCAGCCTCACCTCACTCCTGCCCTCCCCACCCCCCCGTTCCCTTCTGCCCTCGCCCCCCCCTTCCCCAGCCTCACCTCACTCCTGCCCTCCCCACCCCTCCCCATTCCCTTCTGCCCTCGCCCCCCCGAGCCCTGCCCTTCCCCAGCCTCACCTCACTCCTGCCCTCCCCACCCCTCCCCATTCCCTTCTGCCCTCGCCCCCCTGAGCCCTGCCCTTCCCCAGCCTCGCCTCACCCTGCCTTCCCCACCCCTCCCCATTCCCTTCTGCCCTCGCCCCCCGCCCTGCCCTTCCCCAGCCTCACCTCACTCCTGCCCTCCCCACCCCTCCCCATTCCCTTCTGCCCTCGCCCCCCGAGCCCTGCCCTTCCCCAGCCTCACCTCACTCCTGCCCTCCCCACCCCTCCCCATTCCCTTCTGCCCTCACCCCCCCACTGAGCCCTCCCCCTTCCCAATCTCACCTCACTCCTGCCCCCCGCCCCCTCCCCCGGAGCTGCCCTGTCAGATTTCTGATTTGTCCACAGTGGTGTTTGAATGGCAGATCTGACCCCTGCTGACCCACTCTTCCCTCCATCCCAGGGCCTGCCGCCTACGGGCTCCCCCCAATGATCGGGCCCAAGGTCGTCAGCAAGAGCTCTGCCCCCAACTATTCCCTCCTGGGGCGCAGCTTGATCGGCACCTTCTGTGAGGACCTGAGCAAGGTGAGAGGCAGCAGCGGCGCTGGGGAGGGGGAGATGGGGGACGCGCCTGGCCGTGGGGAATGGGGGTTCAGGCTGCCGGCTGGGTTGCGGCTCGGCCTGCTTTGGGGGGGTGGGGGCGCCCCTGGGGGGGGCCTGTTGGCGACTGAGCTCCCCTCTCCTTGTGTGCAGACGCCAGGGCCCTGTAACTACCGGGTGGTGGAGCCCAGCGTGTACAAGACCCGGGCCCCACAGTACAGCATGCTCGCCCGCAACATGCTTCCTGGGGACAACACGCAGAAACCTGGGCCCGGGGCACACAGCCCGGAGAAGGTGAGGAGGGGGCTTGGGACACACACACACACACACACACACACACGGGCTCACAAGAGCTGTTGTGGATGGGCCGTGGGTGGGTGGTGCAGTGTGTGTGCAAGTGGGGGGGTGATGCAGTGTGTGGGTGTGCAAGTGGGGGTGATGCAATGTGTGTGTGTGGGGGAATGTAATGCAGTATGTGTGTGGGTGATGCACTGTGTATGTGGTGGGGTGATGCAGTGGGTGTGTGGGTGACGGACGGTGTGTGGGCGGTGATGCAGTGTCTCTGTGTGTGGGGGGGGTGATGCAGTGTGCGAGCGGGTGGGGGGGTGATGCCGTGTGTGTGCGAGTGGGGGGGTGATGCCGTGTGTGGCGGGTGGGGGTGATGCCGTGTGTGTGCGGGTGGGGGGTGATGCCGTGTGTGTGCGGGTTGGGGGGTGATGGGGGGGGTGATGCCGTGTGTGTGCGGGTGGGGGGGTGATGCAGTGTGTGTGCGGGTGGGGGGGGTGATGCCGTGTGTGTGCGAGTTGGGGGGTGATGCCGTGTGTGTGTGTGGGTGATGGAGGGGGGGTGTGCGCACGCAGTGGGGGAGCTAAGGTCTCATGCAGGATTGTAGTTGTGGGCCGGGGGGGGGGGTGCCTTGAGATCTGACGGGGGAGGGGGCGTGTGTGTGTTTCGAACGTGGAAGCCAGGCTCTCCGCAGGGTACCAGCGGGTGCTGGGGGGAGGAGCTGAGATCTCACGCACTGACCCTGCGGTGTTCTGCCCCCTCTCCCTGCAGTACGTCCAGCAGCGTGGCCAGACCTTTGGGATCCGCCACTCCGACTACCTGGCGCCCCTCATCGTGGACGTGGTGGATTAAGCGAGCGCGGCCGGAGGAGCCGAGGGAGCGGCTGATCGCGGGCGTTAGTGAAAGGGACGGGCTGGACAAGAATTATGCATTTGAAAATCTTTACTGACTTAACACTCTGTGCAGTCGTCTTCGGCGAGTCAGCCCCCAGCTCCTCAGGCCCAGGGAGACCCGGGGAGCTTGGGCCTGGCTCCTTCAGTCGGACAGTGGAACTGGAGCAGGCCATCATGTGAGTGCTGAGCTCCAGGGGGCGTGTGGAAAGAGGGTGAGGCGAGGTCAGGCTGGCTGCAGTGCCCCCGACAGGCCAGGGTCATTTGCACTAGCCCCAGTAGCTCAAGGGCCCCCCTCATGTTCTGACTTTCACTCCTGGGGGAGATCCATTCACAGTGGCGGACACCGGGGGCGGCCCACACGCCTGAGCTCTCCTCCCTGTGGTGCCGAGGACGGAGCTAGTCCCAAGTGGGGAGATTAGGGGACCTAGTGCAGCAACTGGCTCCCACGCAACGCAGCTCAGCCCACCAATGCCCCTGTTGTTCCCTGTTGTTCCCGTGGCGAACAATTGCTGGATCCTTGCCCAGCACTTTTTGCCCACCGGTGAGGAAGTGGAAGGGTCTCATTTGGACTGCTCCGTGCCCTAATGTTTCCCCATTGGCCCCTGGGATTGACCCTCTCTGAGCACAGGTCACTGCCACCATCAGCTACGAGCTATTGTCCAGGGCTTTGTCCAGCCTACAATGGGCTTCCCACCCATCCCCTGGCTGGCCAGTTCGCTCTCCTCACCCATCTCTCTGCCAGGGCGTCTTCCCAGACCCTCAGGCTACATTCCCTTTGCTCAGTTTGAGCCCACTCCTCCTTATCACACCCCTTTATCATGCTGATTCCTCTCCCTGTTCTCCTGCTGCCTCTTGGCTGTCCCTAAGCCAGCCTCGGCAGGGTTAGTGCTTTCGGCCTCCCGCTCGCCCCACGACTCAGTGGCCCCCAGCCCCTCAGTAGTGTAGCTGCTCTTATTTGAGTTCCCTCCATTGTGTTGACATCTTTCTGGCGCCAGATCCCTGGAGCTGAGCACAAGCTGGGCTCTCCCTGGAGCTGTGCAGAGAGGGCCCCGGCCTGCACTGGGATGAGAGGCCCAGAGCTGAGCGTTCCCCGAGCTGCTCCGGCCGAGCCCCGTTCACGAGCCCCTGTCCAATTCTTTCCATTTGCTGACCCTTTTCTGTCTTCCTTGTGTCAGGGGAAGGGTCCCACTGCAATATGCTGCATGGTCTGTGCTCATGCTGCGGGCACTCAGGATAGAAATCGGATCCTCCTGCTCCAGATACACAGGACCCACCCACTTGCGCGACAGGAGAATCACCCCCTAGCTGTCCCTCTGACCGGGCTCACAATACACCGTTGTGCAGTTCTGATTCTGTCCACTAGAGGGCAGGGCTCTCCCTATGGTTCTCTGTGTCACACACACTCTAGCCGGTTCCTTGCCGACAGGATATATTTATACCCAGATGTGGTTACAATAACCACATCCCCATCTCTGTAGGGAAACTGAACACAAAAGCAAGCTCCAGGCGAGGCACAAACCACCCTAGGGGGTTCTGGGGAGGGAGAACCTGCTTTGGCTCACTGAGCAGGGGGGTTATCTTGGCCTAGATGTTAGAGAGCAGACAGCTCTGTCTGGAGTGTTATTCGGTCTGGGGAAGTTATAAATATTCCGTGACAGCGGACTCCCACTCCTTCCCTGGGAAGCAATTCACCACTCCCATAGATTCATAGACAGTAAGACCAGAAGGGACCATTATGATGACCCAGCCTGATCTCCTATATAACACATGCAATTGTTTCTGCATCGTGCTCAGAACTTCCGATTGAGCTAGTGCATATCCTCTAGAAAGGCATCCAGGTTTGACCCACTGTGTCCCTAGGTCAGATTTCCCAACGGTTAATTACCCTCACTGTGAAAACAGGACATCTTATTTCTAGTCTGAATTTGTCTGCCTACAGGTTCCTCCTTTGCCTGCCAGCTTAAAGAACTGTCAACAGTCAGAAGTCTCTTCCCCCAGTGGGTAATTGCAGACCATGGTCAAGTCCCCTCTTAACCTACCCTTGGATAAACTAAAGCGGATGAGTTTTCTTAGTCTCTCACTGTAAGCCAGGTTGTCCAGAGCTCAGATCGTTTTCCTGGCTCTTTCCTGAACCTTCTCCAATTTTTCAACATCTTTTTTGAAGTGCGGACACCAAACCTGAGCACAACATACACTAATGTCAGGAAGCCATGACTGTACCTGGCCATGCGTCAGCTCCCTACCTCCTCTGCCGTGGGCAACACAAATCCCACCTTCTCAGCCTAGGCAGGCTCCGCTGTCCCTCTGCATGTTAGCAACAGGCCCACCTCAACCCCCGAGCCCTCCGAGGGGCTCCCTGGAGCATCCAGCCCTGCTCCACTGGACACTCGCATGGTTCACTGCTCCCGAAGGAGCAGCCCAGCCCACCTTACCAGCTCCACCTCACATCACGACAACGCTTCACACACAGCCCTTAGGCATGTTTAGAGTGAAAAGAAGCAGAGTTTATTTAACAAAGAGAGTCAAATGGTAGCAAATAGGAATACTGGAAACCAATGGTTACCTATCAAATAAAAGCAGAACCCGCACTGTAAAACCTGGACGTATGTAACTAACGCACACCCAGAGTCCTTGCAGTGTTTTGCAGCCAGGCCTAGCTGTGCTCCGTTTTCATGAGGGAAGCCATGCTGTCAGCTTGTCTCCTTGGTGAAGGGGACGGGGCGGGGGAGGAACCTCTGCCCCCCCAGGGATGCTCCAACACTCCAAGGTCTTTACTCACAAACAGGGTGTTGTCCTGCTGGTTGTTGTTTTTTCCTGTGTGCCTCTTTGCTGTTGATTTCACATGCTCTTGATCAGCATTCAGCTCCGACTGTGGACAGGTCTCCTTTGTAAAGCAGACAATACCCAATACACACAGGACCAGCCGGAGAGCAAGAGAGACAGGTCTCTTCCCTCCTCCCTGTTAGGAGCAAGTTCATCCCTTTGTGCAACCTGCCTTAACTCCCAGACCTTAAGCACATGATTTCCAGTACAGATACATAATTCCAGAAACATTATCTGTCCGTACGCTTTGCAACGACTATGATGACCAGCTCTGGGCAGAGCCCTCATGTCATAAATGTAAAGGGAAGGATAACCACCTTTCTGTATACAGAACTATAAAATCCCTCCTGGCCAGAGGCAAAACCCTTTCACCTGTAAAGGGTTAAGAAGCTAAGATAACCTCGCTGGCACCTGACCAAAAAGACACAAAAACAGGAATCTACATTCCATTCAGCACAGCTTATTTACCAGCCATTTAAACAAAAGGAAGTCTAATGCATTTCTAGTTAGATTACTTACTAACAAGTTCTAAGACTCCATTCCTGTTCTGTTCCTGGCGAAAGCATCACACACACAGACAGACCCTTTGTCCCTTCCCCTGTCCTTCCCACCCCAGCTTTGAAAGTAACTTGTCTCCTCATTGGTCATTTTGGTCAGGTGCCAGCGAGGTTATCCTAGCTTCTTAACCCTTTACAGGTGAAAGGGTTTTGCCTCTGGCCAGGAAGGATTTTATAGTTCTGTATACAGAAAGGTGGTTACCCTTCCCTTTATATTTATATACCTCACATGCCACCCTTTGGTAAACTTAACTTGTACACATCTGACCCAGGGTATCCCTGTAAAACGCCAGCAACTCTGTGCCTCCTGAGGGTCCTGGGTCGCACCTCACCCTTTACCCTGACTCTTTGGACTCTTCCACTGGCTAATCCGTATGCGTCAACTTGGAACCCTCCTGCCCGGACCCTGCATCTGCCACCACATTCTTTTTGCCTTTAATATGGACAATTTCCATATCATATTCCTGCAGCGCTGTGCTCCAGGGCATCACTCTGGAGTTGCTACCTTTTCTCCTGTGTAACTGTACCAAAGGAGAGGGGTCTGGTAGGGTCTCCCTTGGAAGCTTGTTCCAATACTCAACTATCCTTATAGCTAGCAAGTTTGTCCTAATATCTCACCTAAATCTCCCTTGCTGCAGGTTAAGCTTGTATTGTCCAGGAGAGGGCTGAGCAGTACAGGAAATCCATTTCTGGGGGGAAATCCAGGACTGGGTCTGTGTGGGCATCACCCTGCAGTAGAAACAAGGCTGGTAAGAGCTGAGCTGTGCCTGGCTGCAGATCACATACACCCCAAGCTGGAAGCGACTGATGGGCTGGAGCCTGTTGGGGAGCAGTCCAGGACTGGAAGCTACAGAAGCAGAGCAGTGTGCCGGGCCCCCCAGCTTAGAGCCAGGGTGACACAGCTACTCCCTAGTTTGGACTGTGCCCTGGGTCTGTCACACTCTCAGGGCTTTGTCCTGTTTTGGTACCATAACTATAGGCTACTCCCAGGGGCTTTTTGACTCAGTGATTACCCCTGTTTCAAGCACGCTTCCCACCTCCTCCTGAACTTGTTTCTGCATTTCCCCTTCAGCCGGGGATGCTCTGCTAGGAGCAGAGCGGGGCCCTGAGGTTTGCATGGAGTGTGCAATCTTGTCAGTTAAACCTGGTGAGGAAAATACCTCTTTGTCGTACTTTGAAAGGGCCGGTGTTTCCTGCTTTAGGGTGGGATTTAATTCCGCCCTAAATTCAGAGCTTTTCAGGGGATTCTCTGCCATGCTCTCCCTGACCAAATTCATTAAAGGGACACAGAAGGTTTCTTCATCAGCACAACTGTCATAAATATAAAGGGAAGGGTAAACACCTTTAAAATACCTCCTGCTCAGAAGAAAAATCCTCTCACCTGTAAAGGGTTAAGAAGCTAAAGGTAACCTCGCTGGTACCTGACCAAAATGACCAATGAGGAGACAAGATACTTTCAAAATCTGGAGGCGGGAGAAACAAAAGCTCTCTCTGTCTGTGTGAAGCTTTTGCCGGGGACAGAACAGGAATGGAGTCTTAGAATTTAGTAAGTAATCTAGCTAGATGTGTGTTAGATTATGATTTCTTTAAATGGCTGAGAAAATAAGCTGTGCTGAATGGAATGGAATGGATATTCCTGTTTTTATGTCTTTTTGTAACTTAAGGTTTTGCCTAGAGTGATTCTCTAGGTTTTGAATCTAATTACCCTGTAAGGTATTTACCATCATAGAATATCAGGGTTGGAAGGGACCTCAGGAGGTCATCTAGTCCAACCCCCTGCTCAAAGCAGGACCGATCCCCAATTAAATCATCCCAGCCACGGCTTTGTCAAGCCTGACCTTAAAAACTTCTAAGGAAGGAGATTCCACCACCTCCCTAGGTAACCCATTCCAGTGTTTCACCACCCTCCTAGGGAAAAAGTTTTTCCTAATATCCAACCTAAACCTCCCCCACTGCAACTTGAGACCATTAGTCCTCGTTCTGTCATCTGCTACCACTGAGAACAGTCTAGAGCCATCCTCTCTGGAACCCCCTTTCAGGTAGTTGAAAGAAGCTATCAAATCCCCCCTCATTCTTCTCTTCCGTAGATTAAACATCCCCAGTTCCCTCAGCCTCTCCTCATAACTCAAGGGTTCCAGGCCCCTAATCATTTTTGTTGCCCTCTGCTGGACTCTTTCCAATTTTTCCACATCCTTCTTGTAGTGTGGGGCCCAAAACTGGACACAGTACTCCAGATGAGGCCTCACCAATGTCGAATAGAGGGGAACGATCACGTCCCTCGATCTGCTCGCTATGCCCCTACTTATACATCCCAAAATGCCATTGGCCTTCTTGGCAACAAGGGCACACTGCTGACTCATATCCAACTTCTCATCCACTGTAACCCCTAGATCCTTTTCTGCAGAACTGTTGCCGAGCCATTCGGTCCCTAGTCTGTAGCGGTGCATTGGATTCTTCCATCCTAAGTGCAGGACTCTGCACTTGTCCTTGTTGAACTTCATCAGATTTCTTTTGGCCCAATCCTCTAGTTGGTCTAGGTCCCTCTGTATCCTATCCCTACCCTCCAGCGTATCTACCTCTCCTCCCAGTTTAGTATCATCTGCAAACTTGCTGAGGGTGCAATCCCACCATCCTCCAGATCATTTTTGAAGATATTGAACAAAACCGGCCCCAGGACCGACCCCATCCTGATTTTACAGAGGTGATTCTTTTTATTGTTACTTCTTTTTTACTGTTACCTCTATTAAAATTCTTCTTTTAAGAATCTGAATGCTTTTTCATTGTTCTTAAGATCCAAGGGTTTGGGTCTGTGTTCACCTGTACCAATTGGTGAGGATTTTTATCAAACCTTCCCCAGGAAAGGGGTTGTAAGGTTTGGGAGGATTCTGGGGGGAAAGACGTTTCCAAATGGGCTCTTTCCCAGTTATATACCTGTTAGATGTTTGGTGGTGGCAGCGATAAAGTCCAAGGGCAAAAAGTAAAATAGTTTGTACCTTGGGGAAGTTTTAACCTAAGCTGGTAAAAGTAATTTTAGGAGGTTTTCATGCAGGTCCCCACATCTGTACCCTAGAGTTCAGAGTGGGGAAGGAAACTTGACATGGTGGCAGAGCGGTGGGATTAACTTGAAATCATTTTGAGGTCAATTTGAGATTTTTTGAACCAGAAGCACAGATCTTAAAATGGAATTTTTTTTTCCTTTGGGCTGCCGAAAAGCAGGTTTTTCGCTGAAAGCAGTTAGATGGTTTTTTTTTTTCTCTGCTTTGGGGCCAGAGCAGAGACAAAAGGGAATTGTCTTTTGTGAGCTGGAGTTTTCTCTACCTAAAGGCAGGGTATTTAACCTCCTGCAGCGAAATTCACCAGTCTTCACAGACCTGAAGAAGTTTTTTTACCTAAGAGCAACTAGAGGGGTTTTCTGCCTATTTGCCTGGAGACAAAGGTGTTAGGGTTTGGCGTTTTTTTTTTTTTTTTGGATTTTTCTGTAGGCTGACAATCACTATCAGAGAATATAGGTATCATATTACAGCACAGCAAACTTTTACAAGCCAAGTTTTTTGTTTGTTTGTTTGTTTTATTTCTAACTCTCGGGTGTAAAGTTAGTTAAAAACAGAGAGGCAAAGATGACAGAAACCAAGATACAACACAAATTGGAGTTAGCCAGACTGGAGGCAGTGAAAGAGGCAGGAAAAAGCCCTAGAAGCTGCCTGCAGGAGAGCTATGGAGGCAAGGGCCAAAGAACTGGAGGAGAAGGAAAAAGAGAGGAAGCATGTGGAGGAGGAGAAGGAAAAAGAGAGGAAGCATGCACTGGAGATGGAGAAGGCAAAGCCTCAGCAGAATATATCAACAAACCCTAACAATCCTTCTCCAGGTACCACTTCCCATCCCAGAAAGTTCCCCACCTACAAGGCAGGTGATGATACCGAGGCCTTCTTAGAAAACTTCAAAAGGGCCTGCGTTGGGTACAGCATCTCTACAGACCAATACATGGTACAGCTGAGGCCGCAGCTCAGTGGACCCTTAGCTGAGGTGGCGGCTGAAATGCCTAAGGAACACATGAACCAGTATGAACTGTTTAAATCCAAGGCGAGAGTCAGAATGGGGATAACACCCGAGCATTCTCGTAGGTGGTTCAGAGCCCTAAGGTGGAAACCAGACATGTCATTTACCTGACATGCCTACCACATTGTGAAACATGGGGATGCCTGGATATCAGGAGCAAGTGTTAAATCTCCAGAAGATTTGTCCTTCCTAATGCAAATGGAGCAGTTCTTAGAGGGTGTTCCTGAGGAAATAGAAAGATACATCCTAGATGGAAAGCCCAAAACTGTAATCGAGGCATGGGAGATTGGAATCAAATGGGTGGAGGTGGCAGAAAAGAAAAAAACTGGTCGCAGTTGGAGCAGAGACCAGAAGGGACAACCTCAGACCACACCCTACTACCGGGGGCAGCCCAAGGCCCCACCTACCCCCCAAGGAACCCTCCAGACACCTTATCGTCCTGCCACACCGTTCTCCAGCAAGCCGCCTCGCTCCAGTGACCCGTCAGCTGGACAATGTTTTAAATGTAATGAGCCGGGGCATGTAAAGGCCAACTGCCCCAAGAACCCCAACAGATTACAGTTCATTGCACCGGAATCACACCAGAGGTCCTCAGGCCCAGATACCTCCCAGATACCCTTGGAGCGGAGGGAAACTGTGAGTGTGGGTGGGAAGAAGGTCACCGTGTGGAGGGACACCGGAGCACAAGTGTCAGCTATCCATGCTTCCTTAGTGGACCCCAATTTAATCAACCCAGAAATCCAAGTGATGATTCAGCCCTTCAAGTCCAACTCTTTCAATTTGCCTACAGCCAAGTTGCCTGTCCAGTACAAGGGCTGGTCAGGAATGTGGACTTTTGCAGTCTATGATGATTATCCCATCCCCATGCTGTTGGGGGAAGACTTGGCCAATCGTGTGAAGCTAGACAAGAGGGTGGGAATGGTCACCCGCAGCCAGGCTAAACCAGCCGTCATGCCTAGCTCTGTTCCGGAAACTTCTATCAGGACCCGGTCAGAGGTGATGGACCTGGACCCCAGGCCAATGTCTGCAACAGCAGTAGTGGATCCAGTTCCAGAGACCCAGACAGAGCCGGTCCCAGAACCAGAACCAGTGGAACAACCAGCGCCTGAACCATTGCCAGCACTGAATCCAGTACTTGCAACCCCAACACCAGAGGGCCCCACCGAACCTGAACCGGCAGCAGCCGTTAACCCTACACAAGAGGCTCAGCCAGAGCCTGAACCCCAACATAGTGCTCCACCACCTTAATTAGTTTACACCCAGCAAAATTAATTATACAGCAGATAGAAACAATCTCAGAACCAGACAGAGACCATGCAAATAAACAATAGCAAAGTGGAACCTATAATGACAAAACAATACAGAAGTGAGGATTTCACAACTACATCTATAAAGACATAAAGGTTTCCCAGCTGTGTCTATTGATAAGTGAGTTCTTACCAGACAGAAAACTATCAACCTAAATTTCCTTTTACATCTTCTAGGCTCTTCCCTTTCTCTGGAGGTGATAGATCAGATCCCCTTCCTAACAGCCCCATATTGACTAGGTTGGAATGTGAGGAGGTGACCGGTCGCTTCCCAGCTTATGGCTGCCTCTGCTGCTTAGCCAAAGGCCTTAGCCTAAGAACAGGGCCTCAGACTGTCACAGTGAGAGAAGGCCCTTACACAGATTCTTTCTTGTATACCTCTATTACTAGCTAAATGATAAACATATACCTACATTCTTAGAGTATAGGCCTTTACAGACAGGCCTGAATATCTATATCCTAACAAACGGTAAGGGTATTTGTGTAGCCAGATATGTATATTTTTGTCATATTTGAATGAAATGTCTATATTTAGAGAGAATCTTCTTTTTCCCATCTCTCCTTTATTTATCAACCGTTTTTGATAAAATTTGACATGGAGTCAGTTTTTTCCTTTTTAGAGGACCCTCATATTGTGAGGCCCTAAGCTGTATCTTAGTTAATTTGTACCTTAATCTGGCACTGATGAGTAAACTGCATTTCATCAGCACCACTGCAAACCTTCCTAATGATTCCCATGTTACCCTTGATGGGTTTCTTCTAATGACTTCCTGGCTGTGGACTTCTTCTATTATCAACAAAATGGGCCTGATTTTCAAGTACACTGAGGGTTTTTACATCACTCTCTAAAGTGCAAATGGAGCAGGGGCCATAAGGAATATGTTACCTACATCTACATTGACTTGAATGCTTCTTTTCCATATCAGAACAGTGTCAAAAGACTTTAGTGTCATTTAGAATTAGGCTAGTTTATCTCCTATCCATGAATATGGACTATTTCTTTCTTCCTTTGAACTTTCTAACATCAGCTGCAAAATGGATAAACTTTTTAAGCTTCTGCTTCTATTGTGTTTTGCTTCAGTTGAGACTGACTGGGGTGAAATAAGTAATTAAAAATGGTGGCAAACAGACTTGATCGTAAAACTCTACAGCTGCAATAAAGAAGTAATACAACTGTGTAAGAAATATATCACTTTGGAGCTGGGGATAGGATAGGGCCCTTCATGAACCCATTGAAATATAGTCTAGCTACTCTGCTTTCCTTCTTTATTCTTTATTTTGACAATTTTCTACTCCTCTTTATTTCAAATTCAAATATATACCACATAATAGTATCAGTTTCCCAGTATAATTTATTTTCCATTCATTCTCTTTTAACATCACCAAAGGCTTGGACATTGTTTGGACAAAAGTCTCCTCCTATTTTGGATACCTCCAGTGCTAGTGAACAAGTCAAGAAAGCTTGTGGCCTGAAATCAAGAAATGTTGAGCATGAACAGTCCCCATGAACTACAATGGCAGTTTTGAGTCCTCAGCACTTCAGGAAAACGGGCCTGCCTCTCCTCTAAGGCATCTAAAATCAGTGACTCCTTTGGAACGAGGTTGGCTTAGCTGTGTCCAGGATCCAGATCAGTGGAATAGTGGCTGATTTAAGCCCAGGTCCAGTCCTGTTGGATCTGGAATCTTGCACGAAATGCTCTCACTGGAATTCAAAGGACAAGAATTACCAGATTTTCCAGATTACAACAAAACAAAACAAAAACAAAAACAAAACTAAGGTATTTTAGAATGGGACCATGGCTATATATGGGCATTTGTTCTCAACGAAGCTTGTGATGTGCCAGTGAAAAGATCACTGCTTAATGGCAAAAGTTTATTCATCAGTAATTCACTCTTTGATGCTTCAGCTTTAAATTCTTTATTGATCCTGGTGTATCTCAAAGGAGAGAGGGATGAGTTGAGACGTGTCTCTTGGTGATGTGGACAGAATGGTGCTTGCAGCACCCTGGAGCAAATGGAGACTCAGATGGATTTACTGTATTTCTTCAAGTTTGGCAAGGGTATAAACTCACATGTTTCAGGGTATCATCCAATCATGGAGATAGATCTGATTGACAGGGGGACAGTGAAAAAGTTACTCGGTGGGCAGATGATCCCAAACCTGCGTTCTTCTGGATTTTTACCCCTCCCTGTGAAGCACCTGGTATTGACCACCTTGGGAGAGAGGCCTAATCTTCTGTAGCGCCTATGTTCTTCCGTTCCAAGGAACAGTCCATAGGTCTGGTCTGATATATAGAAGACTAGAGCAGGATTGTTCTTAAACCAAACCTGTAGCCAGATGGTTAAATCTCCCCTCACCACCTGAGTATTATACCATGTCCTTAAAGAGGCAGAATGGTCTGGATAT